TACATTCTTTGCTTCTATTAGCGTACTCGCAAAAAATCGTCATTACTAACAAATGAAAATATATATCAACTTATGTTTCATCCGAACACTTCAACAACTTATTTCCTAGTTGAGTTTGAACGCTTGGGCCTGATTGGTTATAAAATATTTACCAGTGATTTTTTTAACTCAAAATTCAACTCAAACTTAACTCACCTAAACTCTCCCTCAATATTATTAGTATAATAAACAATACCAATTAGTCATCCCCACACATCACATCAACTTTATCCACTATTTATTCCTTTGCATAATTTTATAAACTGATCATCACTTCCAATAACTTCTCTCCTACTTTTACATCACATCAACGTTAATCATTATATTTTAAATTTTATTTAAATACCAACTAAAAATCTCACTCAAATCAAACTCAATGGCCGTTTTTCAAAATTAACCCACTTTGCCCAATAAATCCAATCAAGTCCAAAATAACTTATATCCAATCAGATCCTTACATGGTCTGGAAATATCATATAAACTTGTTAAGTTGGAAGAACCTTTACACGAACTCAGCAAAACACCGTCTAAGTCAAAGAAGTCAATAGCAAAAGTAGCTAATTGGCGCCGTTGGATCCATTCACATCATGAAATTTCAACTTTCAGTTAATCAATAATGATTAAGATCTAACAAAAATAACGACTAAAGCTGTCCTTGACCAAATACTTACAGGCGGGGCTCCTCCGTAAGCACCAGCATATGCAGGGTTAAGAACAGCTGCTTGATTAGCATCATGTTGCTCTTTCTTCTTCCTTCCTGTGATACATTAACAGATAATAGATTAAATAATGAATAACAAGAAAAATGAAGCGGGTAAATATGTAAGATTTCTGTTTCAATCCAGAATAATAATGTACATAATGATAATGCAAACCCAGAGGGACTTGCACCAAGTTGCATGACAAAGCATTAAATTGGATGAAACATTTCAAAATGCTGGACAAGTTTTAACATGACAATGTGAAACTTCAGCAGTAAGATATTCACAGCAAATAGTAGGAGCTTTATAATTTTTAATGCTTACGATATTCACTAATCACTAGAGTATTCATGACTTGTCTGAGTGGTAACTGACAAAAGTTACTTAAAAAGAGACATTATTCTCGAAAATATACTGTTAAAAAGATGGAAACAGTTTAATTAGGTCATCTCAAAGTCAAGAAGCCAAACAAGAACCATGCAAGTAGTAGTGGAAGAAAAAGGTAAGGACAAATCTATTGTCAAATTTACTAACAGTTTAATATAATAAAGAAAGTAGAGAACAAGTAACGGTTAGAAGGTAAAAAAGGACTCATGATTCGCCTTTTCATATGTCAAATGAAACAATGAAAAGTCCCTTACCTTTGTCATCTAGCTTCTTCCTTTTTTCTCTAGGAACAAAGGTACCATCAGCCTTTGCAATGACATCAGATTTTGTTTTCGCATACTGAATCCGCTGTAAGAAGCATAACCGAACATCTTGTGAAAAAAATGAAGAAGCTCGGCATATCTAAGTACAAAAACTTTTCTAGGGAAAGGAAAAAGTCCACCAAAACAATTTGGTAACAATGGGAAGTAGAAAAAAAATAATAAGAAGAATAAGAAATTGGCCTTGGAGCCTATGATTTGCTTATCAAGTTAATCATGTGATAAAGTATGTACCCTTCATCAAGAATGAGAAAGAAAATAAAACCTCATTTGCAATGAAAAAAATGTAAAGCTTACTCCCTTCAATGACCTCATATAGTCATATAAACCCAAGTCATCATCTAACATTTCCAATTTTGATCATCCCTCCCCCCCAAACACAATTCTCCTAGTGTGTTAAAAAAGTCGATCAGCAAATTATAACACAAGATGATACATTTCATTAACATAGCCATGAACCTTTTAGGAAGAAAACAACATAATCTACAGACCATATATGGTACTGTGAAACCACAGATTTCCGCATGTCTTTCCAAACACCATAATTTAATGAAATAACTACAAAATCAAACATTAATTAGAAAAGAGAGAGAGAGAGAGAGAGAGAGAGAGAGAGAGAGATTCCAGACCATCTGTTTATCGTAGAATGGAAATCCCTGCATTTGACGAAGCGCATTGGTGGCAGACGAGACATCCTCAAAGACAACCCACGCTTGCCCCTTGTGTTTTAGGGTTTTGAACGCCAAAACCTCCAATATCTTCCCAAACTGAGAAAACACGGCGTGAAGCGATTTCTTCAGCGCTGTAACAGAAAACCAAATCAAGAGACGAAAAATTAGGTCAACAAACAACGAATCCTCTCCAATTTCCAGTAAGAAGAAAGGTAAAAAGGGGTAAAAAATCGAGAAGGTACAAATACCATCGAGCTTGATTTTCTCATTAAGGTTATTAATGTAGATGGTGTTATTAGCAGGAAGCTCGGCGACTGCAGGTGTGCCCTCCGCCATGGATGCTGAGCTTTGAGCTGTTTTGCGAAGCGAAAAAAAAAACTGAAATTCACTTGAGCTCACTCGGTTGGGGGATCTGATTCTGAATTGAGGAGGGGTTTATGATATTGGGGGTTTTAGTTACTGGGGGCTTATATCCACTCGTCTAGACCAAGTTTATGGATGGCCCAATTTTGTAATTGGGTATCAGACGGCTCAAATTCTTACCGTACACCTGCCAATTGATGGCCCACGAGCCCACTTATCTGCCAACAGTACTAGCCGCTGCAGGTTACAAGTTGGTGGGCCTTTTTGTTGCAATTCTGGCTATTGCTAGAGTACGGCCTGAATAGGGCTATAAACGAGTCGAGAGCTTGCTCGACTCAAGCTCTCGAGTCGAGCTTGTATTGTTAAATCTAACAAACCAGTCGAACCTCTATCATTATTTTAAAAGGTTCGTAAGTTCGATAAGCCGCTCGACTTTTTATTTACATAATACCTAATATAGTTTAATTATCAACATTAAAACGCCAAGGCCAAAATTGTGTATTTAGGGGATGCTTGGATATAATTTTTTTTGATTTGTTTGGATGTTTTGGTTTGGTTTTGTTAATTTTGAAAAATGTGGTATGGTTAGTTGTTAGTGTGTATATTAAAAGAATATTTAAAATAAAATAATTAAAGTCGATTTGATGTAAAAGTATGAGACATATGATTTGAAGTGGTGGTTTGTTAAACTTATGTGAGTGGATAAATAGTGAATTAAGGTTGATGTGATGTGTAATAATGATTGTTCGATATTATTATTAATAATATTAATGGTAGTGGAGTTGAATCAAAGTTGAGTTAAAAATAGTGGTTGAGTTAAAAATGTTTGTGTTTTTTTGAATAAATTTTGTATCCAAGCATTCTCTAAACTTTCGAACCAAGCTCGAGCCGTGTGGAGCATCCCGTCGGTTTAACCATTGAGTCAAGCTTGAACTCAAGCAGTAAAGAAAAAAGTTGGATATGCACTCAACAAGGTCATGCTTGACTCGACTCGTTTGCAACCATCAAAGGCAACAGTGTGGGCCCCAAAACCGTTTAATCAAATTAGAATTGGATGAGGATATTGTTTAAATAAAATTAATAATACTACGTTAAAAAAATAAGCAAGGTTTGAAATAATAATTTTCATTTATATAACATTTAATATATATTATACATTTTATTAGTTTAACACAGTGCATTAACAGATGTTGTATTGTATAAATGATAAAGTTAACCATCATTTTGCAACAATGTATGTAATATTGGTTTTTATATTTCAATTTATTTAAACTGTATGTAATATTTGTGTGATTGGAAGCATCAAACAAACATAAAATTATAATTCATATATCCTTCGAATTTACCTATACAAATTTGAGTAAATTATAATTTTAATCATGTATATTTCACTACTTTAACTTTTTCGTCTTTTTCGAATTGCGTTTTTTATTTTCATCTTGTATATTTGAAAAAAAATTACACAAAGATCATTTTTTTACATAAGAGACGAAATTGAAACACTTTATTGCGAAACATAAAGGACTTTTTCATTGCGAAAAAGACCTTTGTGTAACCCTTTTTCAAACATACGGGACAAAAACAAAAAAGGACAGAAAAGTTAAAATGGTGAAACATCCAAGACTACAATTGTAATTTACTCAACAACTTTTACTTCCAAAACTCTTTACCAATTGATGGCATGGTTTTATACATTACACATTGACTAATCGTTAGACAATCTAATAGAAAGCTAGAGATGTAAACAACCCGGTTTACCTATTCATCCGTTAAAATATACATTTTTTTTTTTAAATCATTCAAACAACACATTACATACCACCCATCAAAAGTTGGAATATAAAATAGCAAA